TCACGGCAGGGCGGCGCCGGTGCAGCAGCAGCAGCAGCAGCAGGGTCAGGCTGGAGGGCGCCGAATCGTGCAGGTGAGTGGTGAGTGAGTGGTGAGCGAGTGGTGAGTGAGTGGTGGCAGCGGGAGCAGTAGCAGTAGGAGGAGTAGCAGCAGTAGCAGCAGTAGCAGCAGTATCAGTAGTAGTAGTGGTACTATAAGTAGTAGCAGCAACAGCAGCAGTAGTAGGGGTAGCTGCAGTACCAGTGGTACTAGCAGCGGTAGCAGCAGCAGCGTTAGTGGTAGGAGTAGCAGCAGGAGCAGTGGTAGCAGTGGTACTAGCAGTGGTAGCAGCAGCGTTAGTGGTAGGAGTAGCAGCAGGAGCAGTGGTAGCAGTGGTACTAGCAGTGGTAGCAGCAGCGTTAGTGGTAGGAGTAGCAGTAGCAGCAGTAGCAGTGGTACTAGCAGTGGTAGCGGCAGCAGTGTTAGTGGTAGGAGTAGCAGTAGCAGCGGTAGCAGCATCAGCGTTAGTGGTAGGAGTAGCAGTAGCTGCAGTAGCAGTGGTACTAGCAGTGGTAGCAGCAGCGTTAGTGGTAGGAGTAGCAGCGGTAGCAGTAGCAGTGTTAGTGGTAGGAGTAGCAGTAGCAGTGGTAGCAGTGGTACTAGCAGTGGTAGCAGTGGTACTAGCAGTGGTACTAACAGTGGTACTAACAGTGGTAGCAGTGGTACGAGCAGTGGTAGCAGTAGCAGTGTTAGTGGTAGGAGTAGCAGCAGCAGCAGTGGTATCAGTAACAGTGGTAGTGGTAGGAGTAGCAGCAGGAGCAGTGGTATCAGTAACAGTGTTAGTGGTAGTAGTAGTAGTAGCAGCAGCAGTGGTATCAGTAACAGTGTTAGTGGTAGGAGTAGCAGCAGCATCAGCGTTAGCAGGAGCATCGTTAGTGGTAGCAGTAGCAGTGGTACTAGCAGTGGTAGCAGCAGCAGTGTTAGCGGTAGGAGTAGCAGCAGCAGCAGGATCAGCGTTAGCGTTAGGAGCAGCAGCAGGATCAGCGTTAGCAGCAGCAGCGTTAGGAGCAGCAGTTGCCGCAGCGGAAGTGGCACGAGCAGCAGCAGCAGCAGCAGCCAAGCGTCGGTGCCACCCACGTGGTGGGCGTAGCCTCGGTGAGCGGTCTGGTGCGAGCGCCCAGCTCGCTTGTGCCTGAGCCGGAGAGCAACGCCCGTTGCGGTGGTGCCACAGGACCCCCCCTCCTCCTCCTCCTCCTCCTCGCCCCACCACCACCACCACCACCACGGCGCCATCGCCGGCGCCAGCTACGGAGCGGCCTTCACGGCCGTGCCGCTCTCGCCCGGCCCCGGCGCTCCGTCTCCTTTGGCCGTCCTCGCGTTCTCCTTCCCGCCGGGGCCCGCGCCGATACCGCAGCAGCAGCGGCAGCAGCAGCAGCAACAGCAGCGGCAGTACCGGCAGCAGCAGCTGCAGCAGCAGCAGTACCGGCAGCAGCAGCAGCAGCGGCGGCACGTCGGTTTGATGGCGCCCGCCAACTCGCAAGCTCTCCACGGCTCCTTTGAGGACATCGCACCGCGAATTCCGGCGGCCGCCGGCGCCCCCGGCGCCCCCGGCCCCAGTCCGGCCGCGGCGTTCCCGGCCGCCGGCAGTGGCGGCGGCGGCGGCGGCGGCGGCCGTCGCCCCGGCAGGAAGTGGCCGAGCCAGCCGGCGCTGTCCCCGCCGGCGGACGCCGCCGGTCGCTACGGCAACCAGGCGGCCGTGCGCGCTCTCGCGGGGCTGTTTGGCAATAACGGTAACAGTCGGAGCTAGGTGTGTGTGTGGTGGGTGTTGTGTGTTTGTGTGTGCTGGGGTGGGTGTGTGTGTGTGTGGGGGGCGGGGGGGAGCGGTGGTGCAGCGGTTAGCGCTACGCTGCGCTACGAACCCGACGACCCGGGTTCGATTCCCGCTCACGGCCAACACCGGCGGTGACGATTATCCGAACCCGGTCCTGGGCCTCCCCTAGGTCGACTCAGCCTCAAATGAGTTACCTGGTGTAGCGGTGGTGGTGTAGTAAACATCGCCACTGGGGGAGACAAAGGCGGCCGGGCGTGGTGTTGCTGGCCACCCACCCCCTCGTGTGCCACAGTGCCGGTAGCCTTCATAGATGCTGCTACTCGCTACTAACAGCACTTGCCCCAGCAGTCTATAGAGGCTACACGGGGGATCTTTGTCTGTGTCTACCTTCACAGCTGCTGCTATTCGCTACCAACAGCACTTGCCCCTACAGTCTGTTAGAGGCTACACGGGGGACCTTTGTCTGTGTCTACCTTCACAGGTGCTGCTACTCGCTACCAACAGCACTTGCCCCTACAGCCTGTTGAGGCTACACGGGGGATCTTTGTCTGTGTCTACCTTCATAGCTGCTGCTGCTACTCGCTACCAACAGCACTTGCCCCAGCAGTCTGTAGAGGCTACACGGGGGACCTTTGTGTCTACCTTCATAGGTGCTGCTGCTACTCGCTACCAACAGCACTTGTCCCAGCAGTCTGTAGAGGCTACACGGGGGGGCGATCTTTTTTTCCTGTTGTTTTGTGTAGCGGAGTGGTGGCGCAGCGGTTAGCGCTACGCTGCCGCTGCGCTGCGACGCCCGGCAGAGGCCCGAGTTGGATTCCCGCTCGGAGCCAACGCCGGGGCGACGGTTGTCTGAAGCGGCCCCCCGCGAGGCCCTCCCCAAGGTCGACTCGGCCTCAGATGAGTGCCTGGCGCTGTGTGTGGTGAACCACCCACCCCCTCGTGTCTGTGGGTCTCTGTGTGAGTCTGTGGGTCTCTGTGGGTCTCTGTGTGAGTCTGTGGGTCTCTGTGGGTCTCTGTGTGAGTCTGTGGGTCTCTGTGGGTCTCTGTGCGAGTCTGTGGGTCTCTGTGTGGTGAGTCTGTGGGTCTCTGTGTGGTGAGCCTGTGGGTCTCTGTGTGAGTCTGTGGGTCTCTGTGTGGTGAGTCTGTGGGTCTCTGTGTGGTGAGTCTGTGGGTCTCTGTGTCAGTCTGTGGGTCTCTGTGTGAGTCTGTGGGTCTCTGTGTGAGTCTGTGGGTCTCTGTGTGAGTCTGTGGCTCTCACTGTGAGTCTGTGGGTCTCTGTGTGAGTCTGTGGGTCTCTGTGTGAGTCTCTGTGTGAGTCTGTGGCTCTCACTGTGAGTCTGTGGGTCTCTGTGTGAGTCTCTGGGTCTCTGTGTGTAAGTCTGTGGGTCTCTGTGCGAGTCTCTGGGTCACTGTGTGAGTCTGTGGGTCTCTGTGTGAGTCTGTGGGTCTCTGTGTGAGTCTGTGGGTCTCTGTGTGAGTCTGTTGGTCTCTCTGTGTAAGTCTATGGGTCTCTTTGTGAGTCTATGGGTCTGTATGAGTCTGTGGGTCTCTGTGTGGGTCTGTGGGTCTCTGTGTGAGTCTATGGGTCTCTGTGTGAGTCTGTTGGTCTCTCTGTGTGAGTCTGTGGGTCTCTGTGTGAGTCTGTGGGTCTCTGTGTGAGTCTGTTGGTCTCTCTGTGTAAGTCTATGGGTCTCTGTGTGAGTCTATGGGTCTCTGTGTGAGTCTATGGGTCTCTGTATGAGTCTGTGGGTCTCTGTGTGAGTCTATGGGTCTCTGTGTGAGTCTGTGGGTCTCTGTGTGAGTCTATGGGTCTCTCTGTGAGTCTGTGGGTCTCTGTGTGAGTCTGTGGGTCTCTGTGTAAGTCTGTGGGTCTCTCTGTGTGAGTCACACGCTTACCACATTTATACAACAAACATACATGCCACATGCATACCATGTGGCATGGTATGCATGTGCGTACTTGCGTGCGTGTGTACTTGCGTGTGTGTGTACTTGTGTGCGTGTGTACTTGCGTGTGTGTGTACTTGCGTGCGTGTGTACTTGCGTGTGTCCGTACTTGCGTGCGTGCACTGAAGAGAGCCTATGGACGCTTCATCCGATATGGCCTGAGAGTTGCACCTAGCCTGGCACAGTCGCCACACACAATCAGTGGCGGCTTTCATGCCGGCGGTGGCCGCAAGTACGGCGCGGCTCACGGTGTCCGTCGCGGTGACGGCCGACTCCCTGGTTGCCGCTGCTCGATCGTGGGTTCGGGCGGCGGTGGTTGCGGGTTATTGCGGTGCCAGGTGTGGCAGCGCCCCCTCCAGGTCGTGGTGGTTGTGGTGGTGGTGGTGGTTGTGGTGGTGGTGGTTGTGGTGGTGGTGGTGGTTGTGGTGGTGGTGGTGGTTGTGGTGGTGGCGGCGGCGATGCCTCCGGAGCGTTACGTGTGCGTTGTGGCCCTCTGTTGTGGCTGCTGTGGTTGTTGTGTGGCGTGGTTGCGGTGGGAGTGGTTGCGGTGGGCATGGTTGCGGTGTGCGTGGTTACGGTGGTCGTGGTTAGCGTGCTTACGGTGGGCGTGGTTACGGTGGGCGTGGTTAGTGTGGTTGTGTGGCATGGTTGCGGTGGGCGTGGTTACGGTGGTCGTGGTTAGCGTGGTCTTGGTTATGGCGGTCGTGGTTAGCGTGGTCGTGGTTAGCGTGGTCGTGGTTACGGTGGTCGTGGTTAGCGTGGTCGTGGTTAGCGTGGTCGTGGTTACGGTGGTCGTGGTTAGCGTGGTCGTGGTTACGGTGGTCGTGGTTAGCGTGGTCGTGGTTAGCGTGGTCGTGGTTACGGTGGTCGTGGTTAGCGTGGTCGTGGTTACGGTGGTCGTGGTTAGCGTGGTCGTGGTTGTGGCGGTTGTGGTGACTCTAGTGTGTCTGCGGTGGCCATTTGCGGTTGGTGTGCGGTTGTGGTGCGGTTGTGGTTCGCGCGATTCCTCGGCGCGGCGGTCACGGTCGTTGCGGTTGGTTGTGGTTCGCACGATTGTGGCTGTGGCCGCGGTTAGCCGTGGCTGTGGCCGCGGTGCCCGTGACTCTGCCGCGACCGGTTCAAACCGCTTCCTCTCGCGCCCACGTGACCCCCCCCCCCTCACCGCCACCGTTCACACGTGGCGACGGCCCCCCTCCCCCCCGCCCCCGTCCCCCACCGCGCACCTCCGCCGACGGCGCCGCAGGTGCAGCTGCGGTCGCTTAGAGGCGCCGGCGGCAGCGCCGTGGCGCTGCGTCAGCCCCCGCAGGCGCAGGCGGCCCCCCGCAACCCCCCCTCCGGCGTCGTGCAGCCCCCCGAAACCATCCACTTTCGCGCCGGCGCCGGGGGCCACCGGCAGGCGTCCCTGGAGGCGCCGGCGCCGGCGCCGGCGGCGGCGGCGGCCGCCGCCGAGTTGTTTCTGTCGGCGTCGGCGCCCGGCGCCGTCCTGCACGAGGCGCTCCGGAGGAGCAGGGGGCGGCGGCTGTCGGTGTCGTCGGAGGACGTGCGGGCGGAAGCCGAGGCGACGCCTCCGGGGAACCGGCAGCACCAGCAGCAGCACCAGCAGCACCAGCACCAGCACCAGCAGCACCAGCAGCAGCACCAGCAGCAGCAGCAGAAGCCCGGCGCCAGCGCTTGGCAGCCGTCGGAGAAGATCACGTTCACGCCCTTCGCTCGGCAAGATGCCGGGTCTCAAGCGGCCCCAGCGATCCAGCAGCAGCACCAGCAGGGGGCCGCACAGCACCAGCAGCACCAGCAGCACCAGCAGCAGCAGCAGGGCACTCCTCAGCAGCAGCAGCAGCACAAATGGTTCCAGGTGCGGGTTTTCCCACCGTACCGCGGGGCGCTGGACGACCGGGGCGTGCCGGCGCCGGCCCCGGCGCCGGCCCCGGCGCTGTCTCGGAGCTCGTCGTGCCGCCTGCGTGCCGCCCGCCGCTCCGTCTCCTCGGAGGACCTGCGGCTCGACGAGGCGCCGGCGCCGCCGCTGGCGCTGGCGCGGGGGGGGGCTGGCGCCCGAGATGGCGGCGTCCAGCCCCGCGCTGGCCGCGCCGACCGGCGGGAAGGCCGCCGCCGCCGCCGCCGCCGCCGTGCCGGCGCTGCCGCCCAAGCGGAGCCCCGACTTGCGTCGGCCGCTCCTGCCGTGGGGGGGCGGCGCCGCCGGCGGCGAAGCGCCGGCGCCGGCGCCGGCGGCGCCGGCGGGGCGGTTCGCGTCGGCCGTGGAGCTGTCGGCGTGGAGCCGCGTCGACCGGGCCGAGGCGCCGCGCGTCGTCGCGGTCCACACCTCCGCCATGTCCCTGTCGGGCCCGGCCTTCGTGGAGATGATCGCCGGGCGGCGGTCCCGGGAGGCGGCGATGGAGCCGGGAGGCCCCCGGGCGCCGCCGGCCGCCGCCGCCGCCGTCGCCGCCGAACGGCGCTCCGCGTCCGCGGACGACGTCACCGCCGTCGCCGCGGCTCGGCCCTCGGCCGCCGCCGCTGCCGCCGTCGCGGCGGCAGCGGCGGCGGCCCCGCCGCTGCCGCCCAAGAGCCGGTCCCGGGGCTCCTCGCCGGCCGGCACTCCGGCGGCGCCGCGCCGGGAGCTCGCCGCCGGCGCTCCCCGCGTGGCCTCGACGGCGCCGGGGCCGGGACGCCCGCCACCGCAGAGGCCGCCGGACGGCGTCGCGGCGCCGTCGCCGCCGCCGCCGGCGGCGGACGCCAAGGAGGCCGGTTCCCCGCGCTACTTTTGAACGCTTGCGCACGGGTGATTCTGGTGCCGGTGGTGCTACTGGTGGTGGTGGTGGTGGTGCGGGATCGGATTGCCAATCGGGGAGGGCTCTTGCGCGGCTGCTCGCCCCTCGCTTGGGCTCCTGGTCGATGGAAACCGGACGCCGGGGTGGGGTCTAAGGTGACGCCGGCGCCGGTCGCGCCGACGCCGGGGGGGTCTAAGGTGCGGCGCCGGCGATTGGGCCCGGGCGAGCGGTGGTGCCGTGGCGAGGTCTCGCGCTGGTGGCCCTGCTCTCTTGGCTGCGATGCCGCGATGGGTTTTTGATTCCGGTGGCTGGGGCTGGTGCTGGGGCTGGTGCTGGTGCGCGCCTTCGGTGTCGTCCCGGCGATTCTCGGTGTCCGGTGATTCTCGGTGTCCGGTGATTCTCGGTGTCCGGCGATTCTCGGTGTTCGGCGATTCTCTTTCTCTCCGGCGATTCTCGGTGTCCGGTGATTCTCGGTGTCCGGTGATTCTCGGTGTCCAGCGATTCTCGGTGTTCGGCGATTCTCTTTCTCTCCGGCGATTCTCGGTGTCCGGTGATTCTTGGTGTCCGGTGATTCTCGGTGTGGGCTGATCCTTAATGCTTGTGGTGTCACCGGGGTGGTGGTACCCCGGTGGTGGTGGTGGGTGGTGGTGGTGCTTATGATGATGATGATGGTGGTGGTGGTGGTGATCGTGGTTGTTTGCTGGGACGCAATGCTTAGCTGCATTGACGAGGGCTGATTGCTGCTCTTCGAGTCTTACCCCCCAATGTATCATTCTCTCTGTCTCCGTGTGTGTGTGTCTGTCTCTCGCTGTGTCTTGGTGTCTCTCCCGTGTCTCTGTGTCTCCTCTCTCTGTCTCTGTGTGTGTGTGTGTCTGTCTCTCGCTGTGTCTTGGTCTCTCTCTCTGTGTCTCTCCCGTGTCTCTATGTCTCCTCTCTCTGTCTCCGTGTGTGTGTGTGTCTGTCTCTCGCTGTGTCTTGGTCTCTCTCTCTCTCTGTGTCTCTCCCGTGTCTCTGTGTCTCCTCTCACTGTCTCCGTGTGTGTCTCCGTCTCTCGCTGTGTCCATCTGTGTGTGTCTGTGTGTGCGTGTCCGTGTCCGTGTGTGTGTCCTTCTCTCTGCGTCTGTCTCACACCCTGCGCCTTGCACCACAGACGATGAGGATGCTCACTTGTGTCTCTGTCTCTCCCTCCGTGTCTCCCCCCCGCCCCCAATGCCCACGTCTCCCCCTCCGTGTCTCCCCCTCCGTGTCTCCCCCCACGTGTCTCCCCCCACGTGTCTCCCCCCACGTGTCTCCCCCCACGTGTCTCCCCCCACGTGTCTCTCCCCACGTGTCTCTCCCCACGTGTGTCTCTCCCCACGTGTCTCTCCCCCCCCGTGTCTCTCCCCACGTGTCTCCCCCCACGTGTCTCTCCCCACGTGTCTCCCCCACGTGTCTCCCCCCACGTGTCTCTCCCCACGTGTCTCTCCCCACGTGTCTCTCCCCCCGTGTCTCTCCCCACGTGTCTCCCCCCACGTGTCTCCCCCACGTGTCTCTCCCCACGTGTCTCTCCCCACGTGTCTCTCCCCCCGTGTCTCTCCCCACGTGTCTCCCCCCACGTGTCTCCCCCCACGTGTCTCCCCCCACGTCTCCCCCCACGTCTCCCCCCATGTCTCCCCCCACATGTCTCTCCCCACGTGTCTCCCCCCCATCCCCGTGCCCCCCCCCCGTGCCCCCCCCCGTGCCCCCCCCCCCCCCATACAGGTGCAGGCTCGCTCCCAGATGAACAAGGTGGGGGGGTGCTCCCCGCTGCTCACCACCAAGGGGCTGCCGCGGGGGGGGGCGGCCGGCGACCCCCCCCGCTCGGAGTCCTTCTCGGCCAATCAGGCGGCTCGCACGCCGCCCATGGCCCGCGCCGTAGAGACACAGGTGAGGTGGAGACACAGGTAGAGACACAGGTAGAGACACAGGTAGAGACACAGGTGAGGTAGAGACACAGGTGAGGTAGAGACACAGGTAGAGACACAGGTAGAGACACAGGTAGAGACACAGGTAGAGACACAGGTGAGGTAGAGACACAGGTAGAGACACAGGTGGAGACACAGGTAGAGACACAGGTGAGGTAGAGACACAGGTAGAGACACAGGTAGAGACACAGGTAGAGACACAGGTGAGGTAGAGACACAGGTAGAGACACAGGTAGAGACACAGGTGAGGTAGAGACACAGGTGAGGTAGAGACACAGGTAGAGACACAGGTGAGGTAGAGACACAGGTAGAGACACAGGTAGAGACACAGGTAGAGACACAGGTGAGGTAGAGACACAGGTAGAGACACAGGTGGAGACACAGGTAGAGACACAGGTGGAGACACAGGTAGAGACACAGGTAGAGACACAGGTGAGGTAGAGACACAGGTAGAGACACAGGTAGAGACACAGGTAGAGACACAGGTGAGGTAGAGACACAGGTAGAGACACAGGTAGAGACACAGGTAGAGACACAGGTGAGGTAGAGACACAGGTGAGGTGGAGACACAGGTAGAGACACAGGTAGAGACACAGGTGAGGTAGAGACACAGGTGAGGTAGAGACACAGGTAGAGACACAGGTAGAGACACAGGTGAGGTAGAGACACAGGTAGAGACACAGGTGAGGTAGAGACACAGGTAGAGACACAGGTAGAGACACAGGTGAGGTAGAGACACAGGTAGAGACACAGGTAGAGACACAGGTGAGGTAGAGACACAGGTGAGGTGGAGACACAGGTAGAGACACAGGTAGAGACACAGGTGAGGTAGAGACACAGGTAGAGACACAGGTAGAGACACAGGTAGAGACACAGGTGAGGTAGAGACACAGGTAGAGACACAGGTGAGGTAGAGACACAGGTAGAGACACAGGTAGAGACACAGGTGAGGTGGAGACACAGGTAGAGACACAGGTAGAGACACAGGTAGAGACACAGGTGAGGTAGAGACACAGGTGAGGTAGAGACACAGTAGAGACACAGGTGAGGTAGAGACACAGGTAGAGACACAGGTAGAGGAACAGGTGAGGTAGAGACACAGGTAGAGACCACAGGTAAGAGACACAGGTGAGGTAGAGACACAGGTAGAGGACACAGGTAGCGACACAGGTGAGGTAGGAGACGTACAGGTAAGACACAGGTAGAGCACAGGTGAGGTGGAGACACAGGTAGAGACAAAGGTAGAGACACAGGTGAGGTAGAGACACAGGTAGAGGACACAGGTAGAGGACACAGGTGAGGTAGAGACACAGGTAGAGACACAGGTAGAGACACAGGTAGAGGACACAGGTAGAGACACAGGTGAGGTGGAGACACAGGTAGAGACACAGGTAGAGGACAACAGGTGAGGTAGAGACACAGGTAGAGACACAGGTGAGGTGGAGACACAGGTAGAGACACAGGTAAGAGACACCGGTAGAGACACAGTGAGGTAGAGACACAGGTAGAGACACAGGTAGAGACACAGGTAGAGACACAGGTAGAGACACAGGTGAGGTGGAGACCACAGGTAGAGACACAGGTAGAGACACAGGTGAGGTAGAGACACAGGTAGAGACACAGGATGAGGTGGAGACCACAGGTGAGGTAGAGACACAGGTAGAGACACAGGTAGAGACAACAAGGTAGAGACACAGGTGAGGTAGAGACACAGGTAGAGACACAGTAGAGACACCAGGTAGAGACGCAGGTAGAGACGCAGGTAGAGACACAGGTAGAGACACAGGTAGAGACACAGGTGAGGTAGAGACACAGGTAGAGAAACAGGTAGAGACACAGGTGAGGTGGAGACACAGGTAGAGACACAGGTAGAGACACAGGTGAGGTGGAGACACAGGTAGAGACACAGGTAGAGACACAGGTGAGGTGGAGACACAGGTAGAGACACAGGTAGAGACACAGGTGAGGTAGAGACACAGGTAGAGACACAGGTAGAGACACAGGTGAGGTAGAGACACAGGTAGAGACACAGGTAGAGACACAGGTAGAGACACAGGTGGAGACACAGGTAGAGACACAGGTGAGGTAGAGACGCAGGTAGAGACGCAGGTAGAGACACAGGTAGAGACACAGGTAGAGACACAGGTGAGGTAGAGACACAGGTAGAGACACAGGTAGAGACACAGGTAGAGACACAGGTGAGGTAGAGACACAGGTGGAGACACAGGTGGAGACACAGGTGAGGTAGAGACACAGGTAGAGACGCAGGTAGAGACACAGGTGAGGTAGAGACACAGGTAGAGACACAGGTAGAGACACAGGTGGAGACACAGGTGGAGACACAGGTAGAGACACAGGTGAGGTAGAGACACAGGTAGAGACGCAGGTGAGGTGGAGACACAGGTAGAGACACAGGTAGAGACACAGGTGAGGTAGAGACACAGGTAGAGACACAGGTAGAGACACAGGTAGAGACGCAGGTGAGGTGGAGACACAGGTAGAGACACAGGTAGAGACACAGGTAGAGACACAGGTGAGGTGGAGACACAGGTAAAGACACAGGTAGAGACGCAGGTAGAGACACAGGTAGAGACGCAGGTGAGGTGGAGACACAGGTAGAGACACAGGTAGAGACACAGGTGAGGTAGAGACACAGGTAGAGACACAGGTAGAGACACAGGTGAGGTAGAGACACAGGTAGAGACACAGGTAGAGACACAGGTGAGGTGGAGACACAGGTAGAGACACAGGTAGAGACACAGGTAGAGACACAGGTGAGGTAGAGACACAGGTGAGGTAGAGACACAGGTAGAGACACAGGTGAGGTAGAAACACAGGTAGAGACACAGGTAGAGACAGGTGAGGTAGAGACACAGGTAGAGACACAGGTAGAGACACAGGTGAGGTAGAGACACAGGTAGAGACACAGGTAGAGACACAGGTGAGGTAGAGACACAGGTAGAGACACAGGTAGAGACACAGGTAGAGACACAGGTAGAGACACAGGTGAGGTGGAGACACAGGTAGAGACACAGGTAGAGACACAGGTGAGGT